CCCCGCCGCTCTCGACCCCACCCTGCGCCCTGCGCGCCCCGGCCGGCCCCCGCCCCAGACAGCGCGCTCATCCATCAAGCAGGGAGAGCTCTCGCTGACGGTCATGGCAGGATTTACACGCTAGGCTCGGCCCATGCAGGCTCACTGTGGCCGCCGCCCGGGCCGCCGCCTCCCCCTCCCTCACCAGGATTTCTACTGCTTCACGCTTTTCGTCACCCACCGCAGGGCGCACACAACACCTTGGCCTGTCCACAGTTGCCGTCGCGGCCTTGGGGGGCTTTGCACTTATGTTTGGCTTGGTTGCAGAGGTGGACGTAAAGGTGCTCGCCGAGCTGCCGATGCTGCCGATCCCTATCAAGTCCGGCGACGATGTGAAGACTGATGTGGATGCCGGCCCCGTCATCAGCTCCGTGGGCTTCGTGAAGGACGAGATACACTCGGACATCACCATCAAAACCGAACCCAAGGATGAGGTGATCATGGACAACGGACTGCCACTGCCGCGCCCGGAGGAGAACGATGACCAGGTGCACGACGACGTCTTCGGTGACCAGGATATCAGCAACGACGAGGCCAACGACGGCGAGGAGCAGGTGTGTATATGGTGGTTCTGGGAGGCCGTTCATGAGTTGCGGCGGTATCGGATGTTCACACTTTTTTTTGTGGGCGACAAATGTCGGGGATGGGTAGTTCAGGTTGAGGTCGCGTGGGGGGTTGATTTCCGTTCTCATGAACTGCCTCTGGCGTTACCTTCGTCCGCGGTGAAGTAGTTCTTTTCTATTAGCGGGTTTTTAATTCTAAATTTGGCGCTGGTAATCTCAGGTACGGAACTGGCTTTCTCACGGTTGGGACCTTGGACCGAACGTGGAAGAGGAAAAAGTAAGTCACGTGGACTAGCATCTTAGGGTTTTAACGATCCAGTTCACGGCATGGACACGTAGCAATACGAGGAACTCGGCGAGCCAGACGCAGCACCCGCCTGACGATGATCTATGTTTGTTTCAGGTTCGCCGCTCCAAACGCAAGTTCTTCTGCAAGCAGTGCCCCGCCCACTTCAAACGTCCTAATCACCTGAAGAAGCACGAGCTGGTGCACAAGGCCAACAAGCCCTTCGCCTGCCCCTACTGCACTGCCAGCTTCGTGTCTGACAGTCGCCTCAGCCACCACTTGCTCGTTCACTCGTCTGCCAGCGTGTTCCGCTGCGACAAGTGCGGCGAGACTTTTGCGACGGCGACCTTGCTGAAGGAGCACATGCCAACACACGTCTGGAAGTTGTCACGACTAGCTCAGGTGGTTAAGGCGCAGGATGGTCC